CAACTGATACTGCAGCCACAGACGGTTCGTATGGGACGGCTGTTGTGAAAGGGCTCACGCTACTGACCTCATTAGAGTCCAAATTGAACTTACTGAAAGCTGATATCAACCAAGTCGTAAGTTTATACTGCAACGGATGTAAAAACATGTATCGTAACCTACAAATGATAAAGTTGAACTGTTCTCATTTCTATTGTTACGAGTGTATACTTACCTGGAAAACTGATAGATGTGGTGTTTGCGGAAATAAAATCACCTCACTGAATCGATCATTTGTTAATGATAAACAGTTATTGGAAACTTGTCCTTTGGTAACTTTTCATGGATGAGAGTTATCTTGTTTACGTGCAAACTGGCATATCATATCGATTCATGGCTAAATAATCTTTTTTATCTAGATATGTTAAATGCAACAATCAACAACATGATTGTTAATTTCCCAATTTTACTGTTAATAAAGTATCTATATAATGTATTGAAACAAATTTTATCATTGTAAAACTTTATTTACATATTACTTTATTTACAATTATAGCAACATATTTACTTTTCATGTCAATTCGTATCCCAGACGACTGCTTGTTGATTATATTTCAGTATTGCACTGAATTAGAAGTTCTAAATAATTGTCGACTTGGTAAGTTTTCCATGAGTTTGTACGTTTAAACACTTATGTCTTCACTAGATTTTTTCTTTGTTAATTTGTGTCACTCTTTACCTATTAGTGTGTTCACGGTGGAATGAATTGATATCCTATCGAATGGCTCGCGCGAAATGCATAACAAGTAATATGATAATATATTTTAGAAAATAGTTCATCATTATAACAATTTTAATGACTTTCGAATTTTTAGACTACATATGGCCTATCAGTACAAACGGTTACGATGCGTATTACGTGCATATTAAAGAAAAAAGATTACCTTTTCATTTTGAAGTCAACAAATTACTTCCAAACCTTGAGGTAAGTGATCTTTAACATCTTACTGAATCTATCTGTAGATCAAAAGGTTAAAATAAATTATCTTATACTGGAAGATACTTATAGCTCGTTTTCGATGTGATGATCGAAAAACAAAATTGATTCATGATGTACTTGCAAAGTCGAAAACTATACGAGGATTGATTTGCATGACTGATTTTACCATCCTGCAAATAGATAAATTTTCAGATTCATTGTCTTTGCTTGCTACTAAACGATTGAATAAGTATTTTAAAGAAAATGGTTGCGGAGCTGCTTTAGAACAACTCTATCTTACAGACATGAGTCTTATTGAGTTTTCACGATGCGCAAAGTTCTGTTCAAATTTGAAACGGTTACATATACAACATGATATCAATGCTGATTGGCGTGCACCACCAGGTACAGTCATGTGTATTCTCTTTATGAAGATTATAATAAGCTTGAAATTTAATCCTTACTCGGCTAGAGATATCATATTTTGGTATGGATCTACAAAGCTTGGAAATTCTCGAGATTGGATTGAAGCCGTTGCGCCAACAATCATGCCACCCAGGTCTAACTTTCATAGACTCTTGTCCATCTCTTAAAAGTATACATTTAGGGTTACAAGCATTTCGGTATACTCTAGATGAACATAACATCAATTTGAATGTAGAAAATGTTGTTATTGAAATTGTAAGAAATCCTATGCTCAGAAATAGAATGATTTGTTTGTTAAATGTTAACGATTGGCAATTTTCTTTTTATCACACAGAAAAAGCATGGAAGTGCATGCAATGATTGGGATGGTAGATCGTCTTGGTCCTTGTTGAAAAGATTTTTAGGCAAATTTCCAAACCTTAAGCACTTAGCAATACGTGGCTGTCCAGATTTAACTGATGTTGATGTGATCTATATAATTAAATCCTTTGCAAATTTACGTTTACTAGATGTTCGCTATTGTTCATTGATCACATCATATTCTGCTAATTATGTCAAAAACTACAGCCGTTGCATTGATATCTACTACACCGCACAAGATGGACAGCAGTTACTTCTTAATTGGCCAGAAATCACGAATAAAACATATTGGATTGCTTCAGGATTCAATTTCATGCGGCATTGTTTCATGAAACCAATTGAGTTACTTCCATACTTTTTGATGGTTAAGAAGGTGCAAACCCCCCAAGATAGTGTATGATTGAAGTTAAATAAATAAAACATATATATTCATAACATTAGAATTGATAGTTTAACATCAATATGACAAACGCAGTTGTTCGTTATGATATACTGCAATTGAAAAAAAGTGAATTCAATGTTTACTTGTTACATGTTTTCCCTGAAATTGTAGCAAAGTCACCATGGAGGTATATACTACCTCGTATATTTGCTTTTGATCGTGAAAATTTTATACTTTCGGAAAAACTTAGTGATTATCGTTTAACAGTTACCACTTTAGAGAAGAAATTGGAATCGGATTATGGACAACATATGAGCTGTAGGGATGTGCTTACTAGGAACACAGAAATCTCAAAGGACCAAGCGATGTCTCTGGCTGCCCGTGAAGGACACCTATCAGAAATGAAAAGACTGGTCGAGAAAATAATGGCGAGATGTGCTTACACACAGTTGCATGAATGTGCTAAATGTAAACGTGAATATTATCGTATTCAACTTTTTGAATCGTGTTCCTGTTCTCATTCGTTTTGTCGTATTTGTGTCTACGATAGAGCAAACAGACAATATAACGGAACTTGTTCAATTTGTGGAGTTAAAATTAGTGTATACAAAAAAGCAGAGTTGAAACCAATTTACAGATATGCCCATTCTGCATATTATTGATTTTTAAATTCATATTGACTTCGAGTCAAAGTTATGAAATATTAACAAATAATAAATATAAATTCATAATAAACAAGATTCATTATCAAAAGTCCAGATATATTTCTTACCATTATTTCGATACCATATTTTTCACATCAAATTTCTATAACAAGATGATGATCAAAAGAGGTGAAAACTAATTGCTTGCAAAACATGTTTGCATAAACTAACTTTTTGTACAAATTTAACATATTACATTGTTCGTAAAATGAAGGTTAAAACAGTTTTTTGTTTGAATAGAATTGGCCAAAGTAATGAATTTGTACAAACTGCGAAAATAGTTGTATTGCTAAAAACATTAAAATCTTTTCAAACTGTTATTTGAATGCCAGCAAAAGCATGAAAGGAATGATGCAAAGCACAAATCTTTTCAATCTGCAATAATGAGATAATCTATTCAAAAAAAGACGCTTACAAATCAATACAAATGTCAACTTTGTGCTGTGAAAATGTTTCTATATCAGCTTTATACATGTAATAACGTGTAATATGTGAACCACAATTGATACATTTACCAATTGGAATTTGTTTACTTATAACACATTGAAAACAGAAAGAATGTTTACAAGATGTTTGAACCATTGTGTAGGGGTTTTGATCTGCATGACATAGTAAGCATTGAATTTTATTTCGTTTAACTGCTTTTGCGTACCTGATTTCCTGAACTAAACGTTCGTAAAGCATTTGACTACAACTGCGAGATATGAATGCATCAGAATTTTCAATAACATGAGCTATAGATCCATAGTAAACTTCTAACTCATTCAATTTGCGATCATCTAAAGTGAATAGTTTGCAAGCTTGAGATTCAATAGTTTTCTGTTGGCGTATGATTTCATCTATAAAAGGTAAATTAAGGTAGCATTTCACTGCTTTCTGAGAAGAATTAATGTTTCCCATAATGTTAATATTATCAAATCAAAACGTCACTATGAATGACAAACTTCAAGCATACTATGTTGTCCAGTGTCTTTATCAACAACTGTTAAATGAAAACTTCGTATATTTCTCCAACATGCGTCACATTTGTCATCTCCCTCTATTTTTGAGAACGCACATTCAAAACAGTAATCATGCAGGCAACTTGCATGAAGCATATCAATTTTTTGGTATTCATTTCTACACAGACAACATTCACCAGTTTCAAGAGCGTCAATTTTAGTTTTAGTTGTAACTATTTTTTTGTTAAAGTCTTCTATCAAATTTCTACAATATGATAAACGCGAACACTCGGCAATACTGACTATCTGTTTATAGTATTTCAAATCTGACTGTAATTGAGAAATTTTTTTCTTGCGTTCAGAAATATTTTTTATCGGCAAAATGGAACGTTTGTAACGATTATGAGGTAAACATTTATTTGAAACGTACTTTTTTCGTTCTAAGAAAAAAGAAGACCACTGTGTACCACCCATAGTAACTATATTAAAAAGATATCAAAGTATAAATTTTCCCAATATATTTGTGATTCATTTCGAGCATCATATCTACAAATGTAAAAATTCATTAAAATGCAAAAATATTGTTGTCTTCATGTTTAGTCTAATCTGAACAGATTATAACCAACCTGCATTGTATTTACGTGTTCACGGAAAGCATCTAAATTGAAAAACTTTTTCAAATCATTGTTACCTCGCAAGAACCAATCAGCAATATAACCAAATAGAAACTCATCTATTTGTATATGGTGTTTCGTCGACAAAAACAATAATAACTCTAATGATTCAAACTTGCTCAATGGACCTATTGTGAAAACTTTTGTGGGTTCATTCTTGTAAATACCAATATTTTCCAATGATAGCTCAATTGTAGATTCTCCTTCTCTCTTATCTCTATGATGAAGGCTTTCAGATCTAACCAGAACATTAACTCGATTGATTGGAACTGTGAGCATTATCCTACTCGCAACATTGAATCTTGGTATTGTGTAAACATTCAGAATATTATTGAAAGGACATGGTGGATTTAAAATACAATTGATTGTTCCATTTTGCAAATCATTTGAATCAAAATTCAATAATCTCATATCAATTGCTTTTTTATTTATTCTTTCAACTAAATATCTATCGATAACATTATATACACCAATTGTCTCAATGTTGATATAAAATTCACCGTTTGTAAATAAAGATTGGTCAACAATATTATTGTAAATTTTACGCCACATTTTTAACTTTTTATTTGATTCTTCATAGCTAGATAATAGCATGTGTATCTATATTCTGTTCAAAGGGTATAAAAATTGTACACTTATAATAATCAAGTTTGTGAGCATCTTTCGATCGCAAAGCACACATCGTCAGTTTCCTGTTTACATCAACTGAAAGACTGATAGTTTGAGTTTCCGAGAAAAGTTTACAAAGCCTGATAAAAATATCATTTTTGTAAACTAATGTTTGCAAACTATCCTGATCTGAAGTCACAACAACCATTTGATTTCTTTGTTCATCGTGATATATTGTTCGTCTCACGGAAATATCAGCTTTTGCGGAAACAAACGTAACACAATTATTTTTTTTGTTAAAATTAAGCATGAAAAATTTCGAACTAGTGTAACTCAGGCCATATACTAAACGAATGAATGAGTCAGACTGCATGCAAAACTCAGCATCAACATGACATCGAATCTCTGTATCAGCAATAGGTTCTTCATCTGTATCCATGATATCGATTTTATACTCGTAACCAAACTGTGTAGTCAACGTTAGTTTTGCCTTGTTAGTGTCGTACAAAAAAGTTATCTGGTTATCCTTGTCAACATTTTTTAAAAGCTTGGACAACCTGTTCAAATCAAAAATTGTACAATAAACTATTCTCTCCAGTAGCCATGCTACAACACAAGCAATTTTATACTCACATTTTCAAATTTACACCAAATTGTATAGGAAATCCATCTGAACATGTGAATTCATTGAAAAATTTTTTGTCCATAACAAAGTTAATATAAAAATTTGCTAATGTAGCACATGTCTTGTACCAAGTCATACCCGATGATGTACACGACCAAACGATATTACTGGTCAACAGAGAAAAACTTTCAACTGTCCTACAAAATAGAGGACTATTTACAGTGACTAGTCTAAACATATTTGCACCTATGTAAACTTCAAACTAAAAAATCTAATTATATACGTGAATTTTCGACCATAAAAGCTACTTAAAAGCCACATTAACACCAGCTTTCCACGCACAATCTACCAGTGACTTTGAATTGAAGTGTTTACAGCGTTAAAAAGTTATTTGAGAAGTATAAACTTTTCTCTCTTATATAATTTGCAATTGGTTTTTTCATCAGATCAAATTGTATAAAAACAATTTAGTGCAGTCTTTTCATGTATAATCTACCCAACGTTATGCAGAGATCTAGAAAAGGAAAAATTATGCTGATTTTTTTATTAGCTTTTCATTTCATTGCAATGATAACTGCTCATTCTAATTCAACCCATATTGAAAGTGATTGCGTTTGCAGCGAAAAAAAAGATAATACTTTTCTCAAATGGATTCATAAACCTGAAGCCCAAAAACATGGTTTCATTGGTCAAACCGTCTTACTAGAATGTGTAGCATTTGGTAGTCCAACACCTGAAATTGTTTGGAGACACTCATTTCATAACAAACCGAATCACAATATTATCCAATCTTCAAATCGTGCAGTGTCGTTTGGAGATTCAGGTGTCGTTCGAAGTAGACTGGTTTTGGATGTCAAGAAAGACATGCATAAAGAGTTCTTCTGTACCGTTGATAATGGAATCAAACAAATGTTCGGATATACTGAAGTTTTTGTTCATGAAAATCGTGAATGTTATCATTTCTTGGATAGATCTCCGCATGAAAATAACACCCTCTTGCCTGATGCACCATATATCAAGACTTGGACACAATCAGCAGTCGCTAAAATCGGTCAATATTATTTGTTATATTGTACCATAAAACGTGTCGAACCACTTGCTATTGAATGGTATCACGCAAATGGAACAAAAATTGATAGATGGAATGACCGAAGATATGGAGCATATCCAGATGGAGGACTAGAGATTAATAATGTAACTCACGAAGATGTTGGTGAATATACTTGTAAAGCAGCAAACAATTATGGTGAAACGTCTATGCAAATGTTTCTATTCACTGCTGATTCGATTTTCTAAATTTTAAAAGAATAAATTTTACTAATTATATCACTTGCAGAGTATCTGAACAATTTTCCACATTTATGTCAGCGGTTCAAGTTGTCAAAGTTAAGTTTCCTACATGTGTTCTGTATATGTATTCCCTCTTTATCTTCGGTTCTGTTGATGACCTATGTGTGTCTACGGTGAATATTAAGATCCTTGGCTAAACCATGTCAACAACGGATGCATTAACCCTAGTCTTGTGTCTTTTTCTTGCAAAACAGCTTCAGTAAGTACTTTTGATGAGCTTTTGGTCCTACCATAGGATGAATGAGCATGCTGTATCGTGTAAATACATCATTAAATCGTTCATGGGGGTGGGCTATGAATGAATTACTCTGAGTAAAGATTCTTTCATTACATGGTAACGATATATGCCTGAGTATAATATAGTGAGAACACGCAGCAAAAGCCTGCGAGGAGTTTGTACTTAGTGGTTAAATCATCGATCTTCTATAGCAAATTAGATGCAGGACCAGGTTTCTAGCCGTTAGAAAGAATGATACAACAGGTCTTCTCTAGTAACCAGTGAGGGAACCAGTTAAGAAGTCGATGTCGTTGATGACGATGTCAGTCGAATTTCATTGCTACGATGATGGCTTAGAAGCACACTGTTGTCATATAGGGCCTTCTATTCAAGTCGTGCACATGGAGTTGTGAAACTTGTGAAAGTTTGCAGTATCCTGGGACTATTGAAAGCTACGCGTGTACGCCAGAGGCAGTGTATTGTTCATTTTTTTCTTACATGCCCCGCTCTATAAGCGAGCAACACATTTGGTAACCTCATTAACACAATCTAAGATAGTGCTGTTTTTTATCCTACAATGGCACTTTTGTAGTTAAACCAACAGCATCAAAGTATGTATACTAAATTCGGTGACACATCTTTCTTATTTTTAGACAATTGTGTAGAGAACGATATTCACATAACGCCTTAATTCCAAAAGCCTCAAGTTTTTCGTCAGTAACATTAGACTATAGAGTCACGTATCGAAGAAAAGGGGTAACCGGTGAGATTTAATTAAACAATCAATTGTAAGATGTCAATCAGAGATATTCGCATACTATTCATGCTAACAATTAACTTTCGGTATCAATCACTTTTATGATTAATTGTTCATAACAATGAAATTTGATTTTATTTTTGATAACAATAAAAGCAATCTTTAAATATATTCTTTGATAGCATTGATTGATAATTTAATTTGTATATAATGATGAAAATTCTAACACAAGTACAATAATGTCTTTGTAACTGGCAATTAATAGAAAATCACTTTTTTACAAGTTTAACTGTTTGTCAATTCAACATGTCCTCATTACAATCTAGACTAGTTCATGGATCACAATTTCGTTCCGCAACTCAATATGTGGGGGCTTTACTATCGCCGAATGAAACTTTCATTGTGTTACCGTCAAGATGTATGCTGCGACAGCTAGATTGGGAGTGTCTTCTTTGTGATTCCTTCGAGACTGAATCACAGGATGAAATGGAAAACCACATTGTCAATTTTCATCGTCCATGGGTTTGTGATGTTTGTGGAGAAAGTTTAAACAGTGAACTAGAAAAACTTGACTGCGAAGAAGGACATCGTATAGAAAATGGCGATAGTAGTGATATGGATGGAATAGAATCAACGAACGATAGTGGTTCAGCTAGTGAGTCAGAAGATTCGAATATGTATTCAGACTATGTTGAATCAGAAGAAGAAAACAATCGCGTTGATTGAAAAGCCCGTGGTAGAGCCGATTGACTAGAATAAAGAAAAATTGAGATTGAGATTTCAGCAGACTGAGCTGTTCAAGCATTGGTATACGTTGTTAATCGAGCGTTTTGAACCTTAGATTCAGGAAATAAAGGACAAAATTACAAACTGGTAGTTACGTAAAAATTTGATGCAACGAAAATTACACTTTAATCTACTATTCATCTGTCTACAAATACAAATACAAAATATAAAAAAATAAAATTTGTATATAAAAAATACAAAATGTATAACTATTCAATTGAAATCAATAAATTCTCATAAGTGTTAAGACTGTGCTCAGTTTATTTTTAATTTAGTTCAGTCTGTTAACGATCAGTATAAATAAAAAACATTCTCTTTGGTTAATAGTGGAAAATTAAACTTCATAAGTAGTTATGACAAGTGAGCTGAAACCATCACAAGTTATAAGTAGTTTGTTACCTGACCATTCAAAATTGGATAATCTTGATGATTTAGATAATTTATTTGTGTTTCTTGGTGAACGCAAGGTTCAATTCCTTTGGTTTTTAAGCGGCGGGTTCATTGTGTTTGTAGATAAACGAACGAAAACATATGGGGATATCGATATTATGATAAATGTTCCATGCCGTCGTGCATATGAAATACACAAGTATTTGAAAGCAAATGGTTGGAACCAGCATGAGAAAGAATTCAAGTTCACGTATTTGGAAGGATTCAAACACAGCTATCTACGCGGACCATTTCGTTTGATTTTTTCTATGTTTAATTTTTTGACTGACACTGATGCTTATATGGATAGAGTGGTTGCCAATTATGATTTGGAAATTTGTGCGGTTGGTTATAATCCAAAAACTCTGAATTTGAAGCGTTATCATATTGAAAATAAACTGTCACCACCGTATCGTGTGAATAAATATTTTGATAGAGCGATCGATCCAAGTAAATGGAATTTACAACCAATTACATTCAAACAATGGCTTGATGAATTTCGTACAACTTTTTGAATTACTATTGTTGCGTTATGAAAAGTTTGCTTTATGAGTTATGACGAACTAAAATGAATATTCATTCTATCATAACTGCTATAATTGTAACTATTTTTGCAGTTTTTGCCTGTAAAATTGTGATTTGTGCATGTTTAATAAGTAAAATGATTTGTTCATGATGAAACATCACGATTGGATCGGTATATTTATTTTATTGAAGTGATGACGGAAGCTTCGATGAATCAAGTCACAAACTAATGTTTATTCTCACCGACAATTTAGATTCAATAAAATCAACCTTTTTCTCTAGTTTAACTTCGTCTATGGCGCTAACCCATGTTGAAGTGAAGACACAAGCTTTAGAGCTGAACCAAATAATAAACTAATGCTAATTCTCATAGACAATTTAGATTCAATAAAATCAACCTTTTTCTCTAGTCTAACTTCGTCTATGGCTCTTCACCATGTTAAAGAAATGAGGGGAGCTTACGAGGTGAATCAAGTCACAAACTAATGTTTATTCTCATAGACAATTTAGATTCAATAAAATCAACCTTTTTCTCTAGTCTAACTTCGTCTATGGCTCTTCACCATGTTAAAGAAATGAGGGGAGCTTACGAGGTGAATCAAGTCACAAACTAATGTTTATTCTCATAGACAATTTAGATTCAATAAAATCAACCTTTTTCTCTAGTCTAACTTCGTCTATGGCTCTTCATGTTAAAGAAATGAGGGAGCTTGAGGTGAATCAAGTCACAAACTAATGTTTATTCTCATAGACAATTTAGATTCAATAAAATCAACCAATTCTGCAAGTTCAACTTCTTCTATGGCTCTTCACCATGTTGAAGTGTAGACACAAGCTTGACAGCTGAACCAAATAATAAACTAATGCTAATTCTCATAGACAATTTAGATTCAATAAAATCAACCAATTCTGCAAGTTCAACTTCGTCAATGGCTCTTCACCATGTTAAAGAAATGAGGGGAGCTTACGAGATGAATCAAGTCACAAACCTATGTTTATTCTCATAGACAATTTAGATTCAATAAAATCAACCAATTCTGCAAGTTCAACTTCGTCAATGGCTCTTCACCATGTTAAAGAAATGAGGGGAGCTTACGAGGTGAATCAAGTCACAAACTAATGTTTATTCTCATAGACAATTTAGATTCAATAAAATCAACCAATTCTGCAAGTTCAACTTCTTCTATGGCTCTTCACCATGTTGAAGTGTAGACACAAGCTTGAGAGCTGAACCAAATAATAAACTAATGCTAATTCTCATAGACAATTTAGATTCAATAAAATCAACCTTTTTCTCTAGTCTAACTTCGTCTATGGCTCTTCACCATGTTAAAGAAATGAGGGGAGCTTACGAGATGAATCAAGTCACAAACTAATGTTTATTCTCATAGACAATTTAGATTCAATAAAATCAACCAATTCTGCAAGTTCAACTTCTTCTATGGCTCTTCACCATGTTGAAGTGTAGACACAAGCTTGAGAGCTGAACCAAATAATAAACTAATGCTAATTCTCATAGACAATTTAGATTCAATAAAATCAACCAATTCTGCAAGTTCAACTTCGTCAATGGCTCTTCACCATGTTAAAGAAATGAGGGGAGCTTACGAGATGAATCAAGTCACAAACTAATGTTTATTCTCATAGACAATTTAGATTCAATAAAATCAACCTTTTTCTCTAGTCTAACTTCGTCTATGGCTCTTCACCATGTTAAAGAAATGAGGGGAGCTTACGAGGTGAATCAAGTCACAAACTAATGTTTATTCTCATAGACAATTTAGATTCAATAAAATCAACCTTTTTCTCTAGTCTAACTTCGTCTATGGCTCTTCACCATGTTGAAGTGTAGACACAAGCTTTAGAGCTGAACCAAATCATAAACTAATGCTAATTCTCATAGACAATTTAGATTCAATAAAATCAACCAATTCTGCAAGTTCAACTTCGTCAATGGCTCTTCACCATGTTAAAGAAATGAGGGGAGCTTACGAGATGAATCAAGTCACAAACTAATGTTTATTCTCATAGACAATTTAGATTCAATAAAATCAACCTTTTTCTCAAGTCTAACTTCGTCTGGCTCTTCACCATGTTAAAGAAATGAGGGAGCTTACAGAGTGAATCAAGTCACAAACTAATGTTTATTCTCATAGACAATTTAGATTCAATAAAATCAACCAATTCTCAAGTTAACTTCGTCTATGGCTCTTCACCATGTTGAAGTAGACA